GCAACACATTGGTGCGCATGGGAATTGATCTCTCGGAAGTCGAACCGATTCCAAAACCGTTGACCAGTTTCTCCGGCAAAACATCCATGACCCTGGGATTGATCCGACTGCCGGTCGCAGCCAAAGAAGTGACGAAAATCGCCAACTTCGCGGTCGTCGATTCCCGGCCATCTACAACGTGATCATGGGCATGCCTTGGATAAACTCCATGAAGGCGGTTCTGTCGACGTATCACTTAGGCATCAAGTTCCCGACCCCTATGGGAGTCGCAGTGATCTGGGGATGCCAAAGACAATCGCGATCTTGCTTCTTAGCCTAAAATAAGCTGAGGTAATTGGCGGTCACAATTGTGAAGCCAAAACGGGCAAAGGTTACACCATCGCCCGCGGAAAACGACCCAAAACAAGCAACGGTCGAGAAGCAACAAGTTTCCGCGCTCATCTCTTCTACCCAACCAGAGGAGACAAACCCGGACAAAGACATCGATCCAGCGACTAAAGTGATCGGAGAGTCTGCGACAGCCACGTAAGCATACTCGCACCCACATTCAGAACTACGAGTTCAGCTATCCCCCTTTCCAAAACGGGGGGGGGGAGTTGGTACTTATACGAGTATTCGTATACTCCCGAATTTTAAAACATTCGCTTTGTAATCGAAATTTTTGAAACTTTTTAATAAAGGCAATGTTAGAGTATTATAAGATCTTCGCTACTATCGAAACGCAAAAAAAAATTCCAAACATCCGGAAATTACTTCCGCAGTAACAACTACTTTATCGTTTCTACGAAACTTGTTCACCGAAATATTTTCGGAAAGAACCGGCGAGACGACGCCTAAAATCTTAAGAAAAATATTTCACAAAAAGTCCGTCTGCGACTATAAAAACAAATACGCTCGGCGATTGGCCCCGTCGAGCACGCTAGCCGTCCTAAACAAATGCACCGACCCACCGGTCCGCATACATCCGACTAGGATAAACTAGCGCGCTATAAAAGAAATCCAAATTTTTGGTCAGCACTTCCGGGAAACTTAGAAATTGTTTCCGGTGAGATGCTCGGTTCCAACCAGACAAATCGTATAAGCTGGGAACCTATCGCGGATTCTAAATCGTTATGGAATCAGGTTAAAATCGCAACAGGCAAAACGAAAGCCGACTAGTCATCGCATAGCTTCAATCCGAAAGTAAAGCTAGGTCTTGCCCTAAACCCAACACACTGGTCTCTAACGTCTCAAGGCATGAATCGAGATCCTAAAGGCATGTCTCTTCGCCCTCATCTAAACACTCGCGAAAATCGCAACACTCCGAGTAAACGAACCCGACGATCTACACCAAGAGTTAGATGCGAGACAACAACTCGTATTCTTCCCTCTACATCTAAAACGAAACGCAGATTTCATACTTAGAAAATATTTTTATTAAAAGTTTTCGAATACACGCCGCCCAGCAGCAGGGATTCAAAGCCACCAACGGCCAGTCCCGGAAAAACAACAACAAAATCATAAAACCAAACATCACACATCGAAATCATCAAACACGGATGCCGAGCTCTGGCCAACGTTAGTATCGATCCATGGCTGATCAAGTTCGCCGCTTGCGTCCGGAATCCAAGGCCCGACTTCAACTGAATCCGGCGACACGTTGATGGGGTTCCACTGATCCCACATACGCGCCCCGATATCAAACATCTCAGGCTGCTTGTCTTTCCTCTGATCCAAACGCTCCATCTGCACGGGATACTCCTTGGCATACGAGTAACCCTCGTTCTGAGTAAGAGACAACCCATGAGCAACACCGCAACACTCGAGATAATCGACGTTGGCCCGTTGAGCCACCTCGGCATTCGATAACCGGTCGCAAACTGTTCACGACGGATCCTCATTTCTTTCGCAACCTCCCTTTTGCCTGCGCGGAACTCTCTGATCAGAAAGCTCTTTGGCACGGCAAGCGTTAGCTGCACACTCGCTCCTCACGCGAGCTATCTCTCTCTCGGCCATTTCTTCGGTTTGGTTGGCCTCGATCTCTGCCCGAAGACGATCAACTTCTTTTTCCGCCATGTCCGCACGAAACTCGGCAAGACAAGCTTCGGTGCTGCGGTCATTTAGGGCCCGGCTCATGGTCAGAAGGCCCTACAAAAAGAGAAGTTAAGCAAAATTGGCCGATCATAAGTTGTTTAAAACTTTAAATAAAACAAACCTCGTTAGCTTGCTCGGATCCTTTGGCAAACTCCGGAACATAATCAGGATCGCCACCCGGGAAATAAGAGGTTGATGATCCGCCCACATTTGCCCAAACGCCTTCGTTCGCCTGACTATCAAGGAAATCCTTGAGAATATTTTCAGGAGAAGCGGCGTGGTCGGATGCATCATCATCGGCGCCCAAGTACTTGCCCTTCCGAGATCTCGACTTGTCCCTCCTCGTAGAAGGGACGTACGGGACGAATTCTCCAATGCACGGATCCTCTTCGCAAATTTCAGAATCCACAGAGAGCCAAGATTGAAAAAGGGCAACCGCACGACGAACACGCTGCGGTGAAAAACTGCCCCAGCTAACTTCACAGTGTAAAAGCGAAGCGGTGACAATCGGAAGGTCCACTAGATACGGAGGTAAAGGGTTGGTCTCTGCAGAAAACGAAAGCGGATAAATAAAAAAAAAATGTCATACGCGTTCGAATCACATACCTTTCCGACCCCATGCGATCACGAAAAGAGGAATGCAGTTAGTCATACCCCGTACGGCGAGCTAGTTACGTCATGGATATCTCGTCGTACGGCGAGCTAGACGTCCCCCGGATAGCTCGCCGTATGGCGAGCTACACGCTACTCAGATAGCTCACCGTACGGCGAGCTACACGCTCCTCGGATAGCTCGCCGTACGGCGAGCTACACGCTCCTCGGATAGCTCGCCATACGGCGAGCTGAACCGGTCCGGTTCGGCTCGTCGTACGTCGAGCTGATAATCCCGAGCCTCGATCTCCTATGTCCTCGATTCAAGGCATATGTCCTTCGACAGGATCATGTTCCAAACCACGATCAAAATGTCTCTCGTTTCGTCTCGATCTGTCCTATCGTTCGAGTTTTACGATAAAAATCGTAAAGTCTTGTTTTCTCGAAAGAAGTCAAGGAAATCGTATAAAACAACAACGGTTAAAAAAAACACCAAACATTGCCTAAATTATACGATTTACTCGAGACTTTTCGTGAGAAATCGTAAGAAACGCGTTTTTAAAAAAAACTTCGAGTGAATCGTAGAAAACGGTAACGATTAACTTAAACATCGAACATAGCCAAACTTTACGATTAACTCGAGGAACTTATTTAAAAAACGGCATCGAATCAGGAAAAGATCTCGTATACAGTCGTAAAATGGATTTATCGCAAAATGGCTCAGAAAGTCCTAAAACGCGATAAAAGCCCATCACTCGACTTTAACGAGATCTAACCCGAAGATACGACGATGTTTTGATGATTTATTTGCAGAAGGAAGATAAAAGTCAAGTTTGAGGATAAATGTCAAGTTTGAAGATAAATAGAAGATTTCCGCGGGAAAAAAGGAAAGATAGAAATAAATGGAAGATTCTCGATAAACTCGAATCTGGGCGAAATGGAAGGACCAAGCCGCCAAGGAAGGGAGTATATATGCAAGAGGCATATACCAGAAGCTGGGGACGATTTTTCAGAGCTTTCACCACAAAACTTAGCATTGTGGAATATTTTCGTTTTCGTTATCGAGCTGCGTCTCAACTAGGGTTTAGTCTTAGAATCGCTAGGGTTAGGAATCTTGCCGACGGCTCACGCAACTAAGGCTTACTGTTGTTATACCAACCTTACGCGAATTTGGAATAAAAATCCTTCTTACTCTCAATCTCGTTTTTCTTTTACATCTTCTAATTTACTCATATTAATCGCGTTCTTGATTGTTCTTGTGCGGTTCCGCAGATAGCCGGGTCCTCTGGGAAATTAGGGTTTACTATAAATTCTCTTATTTACGTAAATTTGACAGTAGGTGAATTTCGGTTTCCACAAATTATTAAAAGATTTTTATGATATCAAGTGCAATTTCCCTAAGAGATAAGGTTATAGCTAATATTTATCGTAAGACTAATTGAAATCATAAAAACTAATAAGATAAGGACTAAACTAGATTTTGACCCGCGCAACCGCGCGGATGTTTGTTTTCGTTTATAGTTAGTTATATAAATATTTTTTTTTCACTTGTAAATTGGTATATATTATAGTAATCACATATTTACGATATGTATAGTAAATATTTTTCAATCATAATAATATTATATAATACGTGTTTTAATCAAATAGATTGTTTTTAATTTTCTATATTACACATGTTTTTCAAACATGTCTTTGTTTCTCTCTTCTACATTTTATTGTTTGTTAGATTAATATTTCATTTTTAGATAAATTAATATAAATAGAACTTGATTAAATATTAGTATACTTTAATTTGCAAAGATAATATAAACTTCAAAGAAATTTTTGCTAAAAACTAAATTTATAGCTTCATAAATTAATATTATAAAGAATTTTATTAAAAATAAATTTTTTAAACAATTTCTTTTTTTAAAAAACAATATAATTTTAAAATTTTACATCGAAATAAATTTATCTAGTATATATAGCGTGTAAATTGTTTTAGGATATATACATATTCCATATTACGAATCTGTGATTTTGTTAATATATTGTAGATGCATTTAATTATTATTGACATATTTCCTTATAAATAATAGTAGATTCCTAAACTTATATCTATTGACATATTTTGTGTGACTAAGTTGGAAGGTGTGGGGTAATTTACCAAAACCAAATTGTTAAATTGTATCTTCGTTATTATAGATATGATTTTTCATAAGATATAATAATGATAACATTATTAGAGAGTTAATGTAACATAACTTTCTAGTAATAGTCAATTTTTTAAAAAATCACACATGAAATCAAGTCATGACTTCTGTTTTAATATATAAGATAAAACCAAACTAAAAATGTTATGCAACTCTGTGATGTTTCCTGTCACACCTTTAACTTTTTTTTTTGCTTTCCTCCATCTGAATCGAGCCTCCTCTCTCGTCTCTCAAACTAGCTCAGGTAAGCAAAAGTGTGACAACCCATCCCGTGGCCCACAAACGCTGCAGCGCACTGATCGTAACCCCTCACTGTGGGAGGAACTGTCTCCACATCCACGGGTAGGTTATTGATGCGCTTAGGGTTACTCGAACCCAAAACGACCTCCACCTTTTAACAACTCTCCACAATATAAGCTGTCACTCTCCAACTAGTCATAATCATTATTCTCGCAATTGCTCTGATTTAAAACCATAACTTCGAAGGCAGTAGATGTCTTAAACCTGCGCTTTATTATCTACTTGCAGCCACCGAAGACATGGATCAAAGCTCAATGGGAATCCAAAGAGCTCTTGACTTTCTGCATCAAGAGGCTCCTCAAGAAGAATCTCAACAAAGTCACGCTCACGAATGCTGAGTTCGTGTGGACTGAGCCACATTCCAAGAGAATCAAAGTCAAGATCACTGTTCAAGCCGAGGTTCTTAACGGTGCTCGTCTTGAGCAATCTTATTTCGTTGAGTATACCATTAGAGACAATCTCTGCGAGTCTTGCTCGAGGTTTCAGGCTAACCCTGACCAGTGGGTTGCTTCGGTTCAGCTTAGGCAGCATGTTTCTCACAGGAGGTCTTTCTTTTATCTCGAACAGTTGATTCTCAAGCACGATGCTGCCTCACGTGCCATAAGAATCCAACAGGTTCATCAAGGGATTGATTTCTTCTTTGGGAATAAAAGTCATACAAATAGCTTTGTTGAGTTTTTGAAAAAAATTGTTCCCGTTGAGTATCGTCAGGACAAGCAGTTAGTGTCTCATGATGTCGAGAGCAGCGTGTACAACTACAAGTTCACTGACTCTGTTAAGATCTTATCTTCTTGCCTTCCCAAGTTGCTTGAGAGTTAGGAAGCCTTGGTCCGCTAGTGGTGTGCACGAAAGTTTCCGACAACATCACGCTGCTTGATCCTAGAACCTTGAGGTCTGCGTTCTTGGACGCTAGACAGTACTGGAGATCCGGGTTTCGATCTGCTCTCACCAGCAGGCAGCTTGTGAAGTACTTAGTGTTTGATGTGGAAGAACCACCTGTTTGCGGGCAAAAGTATGCCTTGTCCTATGTCCAAATTGCACGTGAATCAGACATAGGGAACAATGACAAGATGTTTGATGTCCAAACTCATCTAGGACATATCCTGAAACCAGGAGATTATGCTTTAGGATATGATATATATGGTGCAAATGTGAACGATGATGAAATGGACAAGTATCGTTTGAGTGTGAAGAATGAGAGGTTTCTTGAAGTGATTCTTATCAAGAAATGTTATGACAAGGAGAGAGAGAGGAAGAAAGGGAAACCACTTGCGTTTACAACTAAGAAGCTTCCAATGGAGATGGATGAGTCAAGAGGAGGAGGCAGAGTTGATCAAGAGAAAATGGAGAATGAATATGAAGAGTTTTTGAGAGATCTTGTAGAGAACCCTGAGCTGAGGTTTAACATATCATTGTACAAGAACAAAGATTATCAAGAGGAGTCTGAGACTGCTTCAATGACAGATGGAGAAGGTGCACCGACTGTGCCTGTTGAAGAGTTGCTTGCTGAGCTTGAGCTTAGTGAAGAGGAAGAAGGCGAGTAATTTTCCTTGTAAAAGACATTCAAGGATTGTGTTTGATCCCAGCAACTGTGTTTCTCTTACTTGCTCTTTAGTTTTGTCAAAATTTTGTTTTTGTTCTAGCTTCCATATTTTTCTGAGACTTTATTATGGCTATTATACCGTAAACGTGTAATAGTTGCAACTACGGAGGATCATACAGTGAAGCCAATCTTTGTCGCCATTATAGTGTAAAAGAAACAAAATGGCTCACACGCATATCCAATCTCTTAATTCTTTGGAGGTATAGAGAATCTTTTAAGCCATCAAGAAATGCATTTGATGAGTTCTGTTTCTGATCAGGACAGGTCGAGTGTTAAACACATATTTTAGAACTGATAATGGCTCTTTCTATGTGAGCCTTTCATCTTGAGTGATTAGCAAGTTACTGATGGATCCTCAATTACTCTTATTTCATAATATCATTTTTTCATGCAAGTAAATTACATACTCCTTTTGTTTTACAAAAGTTTCATTTTGACATTTTCATGTTACATAAAAAATTTCGTTTTATAATTATAATGCAATTTCTACTTTTTTTTAATCTCAATATTAATTACAAAAATGATTGATCTTATAATTTGTTTATTATTTTAAATATTAATATTATTGGTTAAATATGTACAATAGAGTGTATTTTTAAGCTGTTTTAAAAATAACAAAAAAAAAACTCCTTGTGTAAAAAGGAAATAAATAAAACAAAATATTAACATTTGACCATAACACCTGTGCACCTTTGATAAAAATCCAAAAGATGACTACTGTTCGAGATAAATCAGAAGCTTCCTTTATATTGAAGATGACGACTCACGTGGAATTCATGTGCCCGACTGATGTAACTCAGCTTGAAACCCTCTCTTACCACGAGAAGTTTTCAACACTGTAGTATTATCTTCAAAACGACCATCTTCTCTTGGAACCAGATAGAGAACTGAATATTAATTAATGGGATAAAAGCTTATGTTGTCTTATTCATCAACTGGCTTTATATAATAAGCCTTTTTCACAAACTGCCTCCTACATGCTCAGAGGATTTTAACAGCATGCATGAAACAAACTAGTGGCCTATTGGTTGGCAACATAATAGGCACTTATTAAGACTACTACTACTATTATCTACCTCTTAGCATGGAAGAGGGACTAGGCTTGACACGTACACATAGCCACAAAACAAGATGCCAGCATAGTCATCCATGTAGTCTCGTGCAGTCTCACGTTGATTAATTATCCCAGCCTCATGATCAACTTCATAAAGAATCAGGCCAGTAGGAGCCCTATATTTAATGGAATGTAACGCCGGGAGTTCAGGGGTGTCCACAGTGAAGTATTTGACGAACAAGACGTTTCCATTAGCCAACTTGTTCGAAACCCACACCGTGATTGAACTTGGTTTTTCTTGGTTCTGTTCTAGCAAAGACAAGCAATCCCCATTGAAGCCGGCTAGGTAGTTATCCTCATAAGGGAGATGAGAATCACATGGACAAAGACATATGTCCTTGAATGTCTCATCGGAGAAATCAAAACCTAAAATGTAGTTTCTAGGCTTCCTCTTACCAAGCCAGTACATGTTACCATTGAGAGACACACCGTTGCAGTGGCGATGTACGTACCGATAAACTTTGGCATCATCAAGATGAGTTTTCCACGACTACGAGTTGAACTCGTATATCTCAACGGCTCCAACATTGTGTTCAACTGATGAAAACTTCAAGATCTTGTAATCACGTCGAGGAGGCTCGCTAAGGACCTATTCGATCCCGTAGGTATCATAAACCCTGAACTGTCGTTGAGTGGTACTAGGCTCGACGAAGTTGATATTCCTTGTTAGGGGATTCCAAAAGGAGAGCTTGGCGAATGATGATTTCTGCGTGCTCCACATACACAACATGAGCAGTGAGTCTGAACGTATTTTGCTCTCCGGATATACGATTTGCTCCGTCTGATCAGTTCTTAGGAATCTTACCTTGGAGCGATCAAGGTGGTCGTAGACAAATTTATCCTCTTTGATTAGAGCTTTCAACTGCTTGCATGCCAGCCTTAATCGGACCAGAGATTCTGCCGGAAGCATTTCTTCTATCAAATCCTTTGGTAGCGACGTAAGTGTTGTAGAAGAATCCATGGTCGTATGCTTAGAAAGATTCTAGTAGTAGTTTCTTGGATAGAAATATGTTCCTCTGGATGATCAGAAAGAAGGAAGCAGACTCTATATTTATATATAGCAATCTCTGTGGTGGTTCATACCTTATGGTCAATCTCAGTTGGTTTTATGATAGTACGTTGATGGGTCATTATCATATGTTCAAACCAACCTTACAGATTTTTTTTTTTTTAAAAATGCGAAGTAATAGTTAGAAAGCTATGACTCAATGGGTCATACCAAATGGTCAACCAACATAAAATATAACATGAAAGGAGTAGAAAAAAAAACGATTTTCTTTGACCCAACAACGATAAACTATTGCAATTGATTTCATTTGTTTGTTTTCAGATTGATAGCGAAATTCTATTTGCTATCAGTTTCAAAAACGGAAAATTATATGTATCATAACTTTTGCTAAAGTATACAACTATGGACCACAGAACTTAATAATAGTGGGTGAAAAAAAAAACCCTAGAGTTCTCTCTAACGGCGATGGATAGGGTGACAAGGAGATCTGGCTTCGCAGCGTCGCTTCCTGCATAGATCCGCGGTGTGGCAATGGAGGGATAGGGGAGATCATTGTCTTCCTTCATCCACTGTGGGCACTGCGTCCGGAATTGATCTTTGTCGATTCCTTTACCAGCAAGGCATCTGATCTCTGTTTTGGTTTCTGACTCTCCGGCTAACTCCAGTAGAGGTTTCTCTTTGTCTCTTTTCCGAACACTGAAGCCAGCGTTACCTTTGGTGTTCATCGATACCACGGGTCTCTGATCCTTTCAGAGATTGTTCTATCAAGTTCTCTGGAGGATAGATCACAGCATTTTCGATTGTAGCGACACAAGTTATCGACTAACAGATCGCTTACGATCCATATTCTACTATGGTTCGTTCACACTCTGTTCATAAGACAGAGGTGAGAGGTAAACATATCAACTGTGACATCGACGATGATGATGCGCCTATACAACTCATAGAACAAGATACCTCTGTCACTATTCGGGACTATAAGCTTTCACTCATAGGCAAAATTCTAAACCGAAAGAAGCAAACGGTGGAGAAATTGATCCAAACCATGCCGGGTCAGTGGAAGATGCAGGATAAGATCACTGCCAATGACTTAGGCAACGGAAAGTTTCTTTTGAACTTTTCTAATGAGCAGGATCTCAACTTTGTCTTAGCTCAAGGGCCATTCCATTATAATTTTTGTATGTTCGTGCTTGTCCGATGGGAACCGGTGGTTCATGACGACTACCCTTGGGTTATCCCCTTCTGGGTGGAGATCACTGGCATTCCTCTTCACCTGTGGACGATTACAAACCTTCGAAACATTGGAAACAGACTTGGACATGTAGACACGGTTGATCTCTCCGCAGGCCGTATGCTCATCGACATCAACTCAAGGAGGCCACTTACTTTCACCAGGAAAATTGCGTCACCGGGAGGAGATGAAGTTTCGATACAGATCAATTATGAGAAATTGTTTAAGTACTGCAAAACCTGCAGAATGATGACTCATGAGATGGCATACTGCCCACTTGATGTGCCCGTTCCAAAGAATCATGGAGTCTTTACAAGGATTCATGATCCTGCTGTCAAGGATATCCGGCAGCCTTCGCTGCGAGATCACTCCAACTTGGATGATAATGGAAGAAGATTAAAGGAGAGACTGGAACATGGACCAAACGACTATCACAAGACTTCTCCGCCCTCACAGACGCAACGAGGGCGTCAAGATGCGCGACCTGAGCATCGAGAGAGTGGCTTCATGAAGGAAGCACGGGCTGCTTATCGCCATAATCAAGATGGTCCCGCGAGAAAACAACATAACTCTTGGAAGATAACCTCGCGACCAACTCACAGGAGGTCTAGGTATGTTCCCTATGAGAAGACAGGCCCAATGCAGAGGTGGAAGGCGAGGAACACCTCTGATGCTGATCATGAATCTAAGTCACGGCCCGAGTCTTCAGCTCAAGTTTTGACCTCTGATCTCAATGTTGAGTCGTCGGCTGCTCAGGAAGAAGGAGATTTGAGAGTAGATAATCAATGGAGTAGTGGGAAGAGACTCTCAAGTCAAATTGTAAGTCCTGGTCAGTCTCATCACGACGACCACGTAACCAAACGTATCACTCCGCGGTTACTTACTTACTCTCCTACGGAGAAGTTGGTACCGATGGATGCTCAGATCATAGGAGCTTTACATGATTCTGAGGTAATGGAAACAGGCGAGGAAGGTGGAGATGTGGTGGCTGAGGATGATGAGGGTGGTGATTTGTTAGGTGAAGAACTTTTGGAAATGGAAGCAAGCCATAAACAGTGCACGGAGGAAACTAGAGGACGGGAAGATATGGCAACTCGCGAGAAGCTGAAACAATCATCATCGCATAGAGGAGGAGGAAGAGCTCGGCTTCCTATGGGGGTACAAAGTAAGAAGGGTGAATTCCTTCGTCGAGGATCACCAAGGGGACGCAGAGCCTCTTCTAAGGATTTGTCAAACGCAGTAACACAACGGCCGGAAACTTCAAAGAGTTCAAACAGTACTCGTAGGAACAATGGTGTGGAGGGGTCCAAAATCTCCTCCCGCTCTTATCAATGAGGACACTCAGTTGGAACTGTCGAGGCATAGGGAGCGACCTCACAGTTCGACGCCTTAAGGAGATGTGTCAGAAGCATCGCCCAGGACTTGTGTTCCTTTCTGAAACAAAGAACAGGAGGCTGCTGTTGCAAGACATTCAGGCCGACTTAGGATTTGATCGTTTATTTACCGTTGAGCCACTTAGTCTCAGCGGAGGTTTAGCTCTTTTCTACAATGATGATTTTCAAGTTAATGTTTTATTTTCGAATAACAGAATGATTGACATTGAGGCAGTCATTGATGGAATAAAAGTCTTTATGACGTTCGTTTATGGGGATCCTGTTATAGAACGAAGAGAATTAGTATGGGAGCGCCTTACGCGCTTCTCAACAACAAGAAATGGCCCTTGGTTCATGATCGGTGACTTTAATGAAATAACGTGCCATGCAGAGAAGGAGGGAGGTGTACAACGCACAGATAGCTCCTTCTTGCCTTTTAAGCAGATGCTTAGTGACTGTGGTATGCTGGATTTTCCCTTTACAGGGAACATGCTTTCTTGGGTTGGGAGGAGGGCAGGTAACTCTACCGTTAGTTGTTGCCTTGATAGGGCGGTTGGGAATGAGGACTGGCATGAGAAGTTTTCTCATACAAAAGTGCAATATATGAGATTGTGGGGATCGGATCATCGTCCAGTCCTAGCTGATATTCTCAAGAAAAAGCCGCGAAGATCAAAAAATTTCAAATTTGATAAGAGATGGCTTCAAAATGAAGAGCTTAGGCAAATTATACTTGAAGGATGGAAGTCGCCAGATCTCCCACCGGGTGCGAGTATTACAGAACATATTGCAAGCTGCAGGCGAGCTTTATGTGATTGAAAAAGGCAACACAATCTGAATTCAGAGAAAAGTGTGGAGGAGCTTAAGGAAAAGGTAGACCGTCTATCCTCAAATGATGATGCCACCACAGAGGAGATTGCAGCTGCTTTAAAAGAACTGTCTGACGCTCTTAAGGCGGAGGAGTTGTTTTGGAAACAAAAGTGCCGGATATTCTGGTTGAGGGAGGGAGATAGGAATACTAAATTCTTCCACGCTCTCACGAAGCAGAGAAGAGCGAGGAATAGGATAACCCAACTGATAGATGTAGACGGGAATGTTGTGGAGGATGAAGAAGGATTGATAGCCATTGCTACAAGCTATTTCAGAGAACTTTTCCAGTCATCAAATCCAGAGGAGATAGAAGAAGCACTTTCCGAAGTAACTATTACAATTACGCCTGCGGATAATGAAGATCTAACACGTCCGGTCACAGAATGGGAGGTGAAGCTAGCTCTTTTTGCTATGCACCCTGAGAAAGCCCCAGGCCCGGATGGGATGACAGCCCTTTTCTACCAGCAGTTTTGGGATATAGTAAAGGATGACTTAACTCTTATGGTTAATCAATTCTTATTTCAAGGCACGATACCAACTGGTTTAAACGATACTAATATATGCCTTATTCCAAAAGTAGAAAAGCCAAACCAGATGACTCAATTACGGCCGATTAGCCTATGCAATGTTTGTTACAAAATTATATCTAAGGTCTTATGCCAGAGATTGAAAAAGGTCCTACCAGACAGGATTTCGGAAACCCAGTCGGCTTTTGTTACAGGACGTCAGATTTCCGATAATATCATGATAGCTCAGGAGATTTTCCATGCTTTGAGAACGAAACCGAGTGGACGCACTAAGAGGATGGCTATCAAAACGGATATGAGCAAGGCGTATGATCGAATGGAATGGTCATTCATTGAGGCCACCATGCGGAAGATGGGGTTCTCAGAAGTCTGGATAAGCTGGATCATGCGATGTGTAACATCGGTAAACTACAAGGTCCTCATGAATGGACAGCCAAGAGGGAATATTGTTCCACAGAGAGGTCTACGGCAGGGCGATCCTCTGTCCCCTTTCATTTTTATTCTATGCAAGGAAGCGCTCGTTAGCCTTCTTAATCACGCTGAGAGTCAGGGAAAGATAACTGGGATGCGCATCACGCGTGCGTGTCCTTCGGTATCTCACCTACTTTTGCTGATGATAGCCTTTTCTTTTGTAAGGCGGAGCCCCGTGAGTGTGAAGAAGTAATGAAAGTGGTCAGGAGATATGGACAGGCATCTGGGCAATGTATCAATTTCGATAAATCCTCTCTACTCTTTGGTAAGAGAATCGGACAAGCGGTCAGGCAAGAAATTAAAGATACTCTTGGAATTCAAAATGAAGCAGGAATGGGTACTTATTTAGGGATTCCAGAGGATATAAGTGGATCGAAATGTAAGCTATTTGCCTTCCTTAAGGACAAGCTTAGGCATAGAGTGAATGGATGGACGGGTAGGTGGCTCTCTAAAGGTGGAAAGGAAGTAATGATAAAGTCTATCCTGCTCGCTCTCCCGACTTATGTAATGTCATGCTTCTTACTCCCTTTGGAGATATGTGATGCTTTGGCTAGTGCCATTGCACGATTCTGGTGGAGTTCCAACCCGCCGAAAAAAGGCATGCATTGGTCAATATGGGACAAACTATGTTTATCAAAAGAGGAAGGGGGGATTGGCTTTAGGATGATTCATGAGTTTAATCTGGCTCTGTTGGCAAAGCAGTTGTGGAGATTGGCTCAGAATCCAGATTCCCTGGTAGCTCGTGTTATGAGGGGTAGGTATTATCGATTGAGCTCACCTTTGCGGAATCTCAATGTCAGCAGCCCATCGTACGTGTGGACAAGCATCTCGTCGGCACGAGAGTTGTTGTTGCTGGGGGTTCGACAGAAAATCCACTCAGGCTATGAAGTGAAAGTATGGGAGGATCCATGGATCCCCACAACTCCAGCGCGACCAGCGTTTCCATCTGCTCCAGTGTTACATCCGAATATGAGAGTGAGTGATCTTATTAATCAGGAAACTAAGTCATGGGATGTGGAAAGGTTGGCGAATTATGTTGATGCAACTGACATACCTCTCATAAGGAGTATGGCTATTAGTACAACACATCGTAGAGATACGTACTGCTGGAACTATACAAGGAGTGGACAATATACAATCAAGTCTGGCTACTGGGTGGCACGCAACATACTGCTGAAGAAGGAGGACAACATAGTGAGTGAACCTAGCATCACAAAGCTCCAAGCACATGTCTGGAAAGCTAAAGCACCACAGAAGATGTGTCATCTTATGTGGCAGATCATAACAGGTCATGTGGCGGTTACCGATGTTTTAAATCATAGGCACATGCGATGTGATAACTTTTGCCCGCGATGTGGAGAACCGAATGAAACAATTGCACATGCAATTTTTTAATGTCCACCCGCCATACAGGTCTGGGCACTATCATCCATTCCAACCAGTTCAACCTTATTTCCGTCGCAGAGCACGTACGAGAACATGGATTATCTGTTCTGGAGGAAGAAGGATATAATGGAACCAGAGCTAGATAGGGACCCCTATCCGTGGCTAATATGGTACATCTGGAAGGCTCGGAACGATAAACTGTTCCGAGGAATTGATAGGGATCCTCTTGAATTAGCCAGGTATGCAGAAAGTGAGTGCCTTGCTTGGTTTCAAGCTAATGAGCAGGAAATGGTGGTGACGCAAGGGAACATAGGGGGAGAGGATCAGGCCATAAGCCTAGGCGATCTCTGCTTGGTAGATGGTTCATGGACCTCTACGGATCAATTCTCAGGACGTGGCTGGAACAGGACGGATAGCAGAGGGAATAGTCAATTAATGGGTATGCGAAATGTGTGTAGATTGGAATCGGCTTTGCACTCTGAGCTGGAAGCACTGCGGTGGGCAATGGAGAACATGCTTCAACATTCGCCATGTCAGAGCTTTGGGACGGATTGCAAGGAATTGATAACGATGCTCAGGAGCCCGCATGATTGGCCTAGTTTTTCGACGGAATTGGAGAGACTCTTGACGCTGCGCGTTTGCTTCCCGGAATTTAAGATCTTCTATGTACCTCGGTCTCAAAACACTGTGGCTGATTCGTTAGCTAGGGCTGCTCGTTCTTTTTACCGTACTCTGTTGTTTGTTGGTTGTTCTATTCCGGTCTGGATTCCCAGACCAACTCAAGCTTGAGTAATAGATCAGCCTTTCGTTGCCAAAAAAAAAAAAAAAATAGTGGGTGGGTGCATAAAGTAATGAAAGTCATTTACTGAGGGAAATGAAGAGAATTTTTTACAGTTACATGATTAAATTATGTAATTTTACCTTCGAAAAATATGAAAAAATACAGAAAATAGTAGGTGCATGCATGTGTACCAAGTCCACCCTTCCTAGCTTCGCCGTGGTCCCAGACCCTCTCAAGATTGGAAACCGATGTCAATTTCAGTAACATCTTTAGATTGCAGAAGATCCACACAAAACAAAAAACGACTAAAAGTCTAAAACTAAAGCAGTAAAGCTTTTATAGAACATGAAACAAATTATCTTTCCCTTATCATGGATGTTAGACTAGACTTGGAACATACACGTAACCACAAAGGCAGGTGCCACATAGCCATTCAGAATTAATCAAAAAAATGAATCGGTTAACCAAATTAATTGAAATTGAATAAAACAAGCGAACCGGTTAAGTTTAAACCAAACCAAATGGGTGATGTTGGACCCAAAATCGGACCCATTAACGCGAAGTCCGTCAAAAGCTGAGTAAGCGAGTCCGCGAAACACTCGTGAAGTAAAGCGAGAACGAGACTAAATCCAATGACTGAATTAAGGCCCAGGCCCATGTTTTATCATAATTTCGTGGTTAACGAGCATGACGAGGTCGAAGTGGAACCCCAAAGATCGCAGAAACAGTTAAAGGAGAAGAAGGCTATAAAAGAAGCTGGGATGGAGCATAGAAACGAGGGGAAAATCCTTGAGCTATTTACTAATCACATCGACCTCACTCCATAGATTTCTAGTTCGCTTATTACTTCTACTTTTCATTGTTGTTTTCTATCTTG